TTGAAAGGTTTTTCTAGAATTATTTTTGATCTTATACGAAATTCTTCCTGTTGTTCTTCAGGTAAATTTTGAGTTGTTTCTTCTATACTCGAAATCAAATTAAGTTTTGGAACGGTTTTTGGTGTAATTGAAAAATTTAAACCTTTAGGAAGAACGAGTTTTTCAGCTTCAGTTTATGATTTATTTATTTGTTACTGATGTTTGGCGTGTTTTGACAAAACTTTAAAGGAATTTGCCGCCGCTCAGGCTCGGCTCGTCTGGTCTGGGCATAATAATCCTTCTTTTAGGCGCGGTAAGAAAACCAATCGAACGATGACTCACTCGATTCTTAGTTCTGAAATTTCCGATTTTCACCCAGGAAAATCTACACAGCTGCGGAAACAACTGAATAATGCAGGCCACGTGTTCAGCCACGTGACCAGTTCGTTGTGAAACCCATTTCACCCCCGTTCGCACGCTCGTGGCCCCGATTTGCGTTTGTTTTACTAGCATCCAAAGGGCGCACGGATTAGAGGGTATTAGAGCTGTTCAGGCCCTCTGGATAATCCGCAATGTTAGAACGTCATTAGGAACGGATTTTGAAATAATTGACTCTCATGAAATGTTTGCACCATAAGCAGGAAGGTTTTCGCGAGAAACTGACAAAATTTCCTTCGGGCCACTCCATGATTGGAACCCGAAAAAAGCATTTTCGTGATGTCGAAATTCGAATTTCGTGTGCCGATTGATGCCGACAACGAATTTTCCGAACATGTGGTGGAGCTGAGCAAAAAATCCCCTCCCAAACCAAGGAAAGCAGCAACTTGAGATTTTGAGAGTAAAATGAAAGATTTGACCCTAAACATAAGTGATTTTGTTTGTTTCCTTGGACAATTTTCGGCCCAATCGGTGGTTTAATTAAAACGTGCAGATGGAATTGCTCGGATGCGCCATACGGGTAATTTTTTGCCATCTGGACCGCACAAATGTCGAATCTGTGATGATAAGGGTGGAATTGCCGATGCGCTTGCTTGATGCTTTGGTTTTTCGGCAACTATGTTGCCCGATTACACTCAAATCACTCCTCAGGCTCGTTGAGGATGAGGATGACTGGGGTGAAAGTGCGGCAACATGGTGAAATCGGAAAAATCACCATCATCAAAGCTGGCTGTTGGTTTAATATTCATAGCACATGGGGACGTATGGTGCGGCATTTGGCCGCCATACTCGATAAAGCAATTTGATTAAAAGCATTCTGTCGCATCAATCGAATTATCGACTCACTATGCAATGTTTCACCCCACGTTGTCTTTAGCAGCTCAAACACAGAAGCCGATTTTTCCCAACTTCTAGGAAACCGACACAGCGAAGCAAAAAACGCAGCCACTTGTAACGGAACTGCGACCCGTTGATTCCGAAACAAACATGAGCTCTTTTCATTCATTTCATCGCCGCTCATTCGAGCCGCAATCGTTCCATTCACATCTACATGAAACACAATCAACCCATTCATCCCGCGCCCCATATTGTATGTCGTTTAAACGGCGTTTCGCTTTTATCCCCGTCTGGAACCCACCGGCCAATATTGCCTATTCGTTCTGAGGTACTATCAACACAACCCTCGTATGACCAGTTGTGTGGGCAAGAGGGCGAGAAACATAGCGGTTGCTATGGAAATGCGCTTGTCCTTGTCGCACCTTGCAGGTATATCAGGGTCATTCGCTAAATAATGCTGCGGTTTTTCCGACTGAAGCTGTGCCACCCTGTAGAGCTGATTTAAGCGGCCAACTGACCCGACAAAATGTATCCATTATTAGATTTGTCTTTGGCACCGATGATAAGAGGCTGCGGAGACTTGATAACCTCCAGGACAATCAAACCAGAACTGTCGTCCAATTGCAATCTTTCCTCGCAAAGTGGTTGATTTGTGCGGCCGCTTCAGGTGGTACTTCAGCGGGTACCGTCCAGCGCACCCCCTGTATATGCAGGTGGTTTGTCCGATCTTTGCAACACCCGGTATACGCGAGCGCTGCTCCGACCATTGGGACGAATCCGAGAGCCTTGTGCAACAAAGTTATATAAAAGATAACTTTGAAGAACAAACAACGATTACAATAATTTAGTGTGTTTTATAATTAGTACGCTCAAGCATTTAGTACGCATTTTACGAGGCCCGCGTCACTTCTAGTGTAGTGTAAATGTGTGATGTGCTGTGCTCTTCTCCGCTAAAATGGATGCCACCCGACTAGTTCTGCTCATCACCTGCTGCTGTTTCTTCCGCAGGTACGACATTGAGGAATCCTCATTATTGGCCCTCAAAAACATTTGCCTCAAATCACGGCTCCAACGTTGCCGACAGTAAACAAACGCCCGACCTAGTAAACAAACGAAAATCGCCTTTGGAAACACGTGGTGAAATCGCCGAAAATTTATCAGCGCTTCTTCATTTTTTCGCGGCAGGATGACGCTAATGAACGAGCGTTGTAAACATCGCTGCATCCTTGTTGATGGTTCACTTAAGGGCAAATTTCCTGCGTCAATCGCCCAAAATTACCTTCGGACTGTGATTTGGAGGCGCCAAACATTTTGTCGAATATTCATAATTTTTTCGTTGTTGTCTATCAGTTTAGTTGACAATCAAACTCTCGGTCCCACCCCGTAAACAAGCAGGGCAACTCAAGGCCAGCCCGGGCTGTGAGTGGGAGCGGGTGCAACATAGGAAAATCCGCCTGTCTTTGTCGCACTATTCTGATATACCAGGGAGGCACAAAGGCAAGCGTTGAAAAAATCGCTGAAAATTATCGGCGCTTCTTCATTTTTCCCGGCAGGATGACGCTAATGAGCGATTGATGTAAACGTCACTACGGTCTTGCTGATGGTTCACTTATTCGCAAATTTCCTACGTCAGTTGCTCAAATCCACTCAAATTTACCTTCCAACTGTGATTTAGCGAAGCTAAACAATTGTTCAACTATTGGTAATTTTCCTGTTGTTTTTATCAGGGTTTCGATAACAATCAGACTCTCGATTCCACCCCGTATGCAAACAGGGCAAGCCAACGCCCAGTCCAAGCTGTGAATGGGAGCGGGAGCTATTCTGTTATACCAGGGGGGCACAAAAGCAGTCGCAAAACAAAACTCCTCATCAGTTTGGGAGCTATTTTCCCTCTTCTGGGTGTCCCAAATTGATTCTCAAGGAAATGGTTGTTTCCAGGTTGCCGGCCCATCCAATGGACTATGACAGTTCCTCTGAAGAAGACGAAAACCACCCGGCAGCAATGGAGCAGGCAGGGAAGAATCTCAACCAGGTGCTGCAGGGCGATTTCGCCATCACCAAGGCCAATTTCGCCTACAACAGCATCAGCCAGTTGCCCGCCTACGTGTTCTACAAGAACCTCTACCGGAACCTGGACAGTGTGCAACTGGGCCACAACAAAATCGCCCATGTGGATGCGACCGCTTTCAAAGAGCTGCAGCTGTTGCGGACGTTGGATTTGTCCAGCAACCGCATTGTGCGTTTGGAGACGAACAGTTTCCGGCACAACTACCGGCTGCAGAAGCTGGATCTGGCCTTCAACAGCATCAGTTTCGATCCGGAGCGGCCTTTTTTGAAGTCGCTGTCCATCAAAACGCTCGTTTTGTCCCACAACCGGATCATTCATCTGTATGATATCACTTTTGCGCGAATGCCCAACTTGCAAACTTTGCTGTTGGACGGCAATCCACTCTACTATGTGTCCAGGAACTGTTTCGTCTACTCCAGACGATTACAGTACGTGTCCCTAGCCAATACCGGGGTGGACCGATTAATGGACAGTATGTTCCGGACAGTGCCCAGACTTGTGGATCTGGCCAATACCACGTTGGCCAAGAAGTTTGAGCCTCCATTGCGGAAGGTCAAGGCCGAGCAGTTGGTCAAGCTGATGGACTTTGAGAGGAGAATCTTTGGGGATGAGGACGATGTGGATGACGATGACACCTGACTTATGTGAGTGAGTGTGTGCAACAGTGTCAGTTTAGAAGGTTGCCAAAGCTTCTAAAACGACGCCTGGATGTTTTCTTCCTGTAGAAGAGCCCTACTATTAGACACTTGTTTGTGTGGAAAAAGTATTATTAATTTTAGGCTTTTGGGTGTGGCAAGTGATGAAAGACTGACTGAGTGTGACGTTCTCCATGTACAAACTTTTTAAGTTCACTGTTACCTAATCATGTAAATAAAGCACGATTTATCACTGTTTTCCAATCGCTTTTCCCTACCAGGCTTAATCGATCAATACGGAGACACAGTGTCGTTCGCCTTCATTAAGCAACCCGTAAAAGTGCTGACTATGACACTTATCGGAATTCTATGCAAATTAGTGCCGCTTATTGTTATTCTTTTGGCGATTTTCGTACATCCTATTGCTAAATATGCAAAGTAGACGGTTCGTTGGTATAATTCAACATCCTGTCCGATTGCTCGATTTCAATCGGACACCGCGTGTTTGGTTGCAGAAATCGCTTGTTTTACTAGACCAGCGCCTCGTTGCACATTGAGTTTTTTAAGTAGCACTCAAGGCAAAAATTGGGGTTTTTTCAAAAATTTCAATTTAGTATTTATTGAATGTGTCAAGTCCAAGAAGACAATTTAAACGAGCCTTGAAAGGTCACGTTTGCAATATTTTTCCACAAAAAACGCTCTCTTCATATGGATAACCAGCGTAGTTTCACCACACAACTTCGCAATCTGCCCTGGTAATTCGGGATTGTGCAACGGAGACAGGCGGGTTCTGACGTCATTGACTATATGGCTCTCGCTCTGGATTACAGTCCTGAGACGCTGCTGTTTTGGGGTTTTGCTACGGGGTGCAAACAGTATTAACTGAAAAAGCAGTTATAGGCGCAATGGAACGCTGCGCTGCGACTTATTAGGATGGAATCAGGCAAAGCATTTAAAAAACGCCACAAATATAAAAAATGTTTTAACCCTGATTTAAGTGACTATGAAAATAGCGCGTTTGCAAAGGAAAACCTCTGCCACTCTTTGGCTCATAGCTCATTGCGTTTTTCGGGCTTCCGAAAATCCATCATCAAATCAATCAAATCAGCAAATTAATTTTATTCATATTTTTTATTAGCGAAGTGAAAAGTTCCACTCTTATAGTTGCTCATAAAAGCGCGAAATTCCCGCCCTGGCAATAAAAATTTGCAATAAACATAATTGGCATGCCGCTGGAATCAGCATAAAAAAACGTTATTGAAGCAGAAAACCAAACTCAAACCTGTATGGGTTTTGGCGAAAACTGACTCAAAATGGAGTTTTTGCATAGGAAGATCGCGGCTACTCTAGCTCATAACTCATTGAATTTCAGGATGGTTTGAAACACTAAAAAATGGGCTAAAATATTCTTCTCTAGAAGAGAAAGTGACTTTAAAAATTAAAATTTTTTATAGGAAATTCATATAGAAAATTTTAAAAACCGTTTTTATAGGAATATCTCCAAAACTAATTTCGCTAGCCTCAAGTGAACATTTGCCTCTCAAAAGGCGTAAACTTTCCACCCTGGCAAAACGACCTTTGCTAAAAAACCATTTCATACCTTTATTGGTTTTGGAGAAAAGCGACTAAAAATGGCGCCACTGTAAAGGCCACTCTTGGGCTCATAACTCAGTGAGTTTTGAAGCGATTGCCAAAATTCAAAAAGCCTTGAAAGAGGATTCAATTTGCTCAAAAACCCATTTGTAGGCCAAAAAAATCTTCAAATCTAACCCCGCTGGGTTCAAATGAATAGTTCTGTGAACAGCCATTCAAAGAGCCTTAGATCGAAACACTTTTCGGTAACGCGAGTTTTTTTCAGTAGAAACCGCTTTTATTTAATGTCAAACGCGGGTGGTCACACTGGACATCTTCGCAATCTGTCCCGGTATTTCGGGATTGTGCAACAAAGACTGGCCGGTTTTGACGTCACGAGCTATATGCCTCTCGCTCTTGACCACAGCCCAGAGATGCTGGCAATTTGCGGGTTTGTTACGGGGGGGCCAGTAGTAGTACAATATGGAACAATGGTAAAGAAAATCAGATAAGCCAATTCCCACTGGGTTCATTCCCATATCGTTGCACCCCTAGCGGAACCTGGCGTATCCGGCAACAGGTGAAAACTGGCCCATCTTCAAGTGGTTCGAATCCTCAAGCTTGGTCAACCACACGGAAAAGACGCGCCTAACGGTTTTTCCCAAAGGAAAATCGGCCAAAAACAGCCGGATGGCAATTGACATTTGGTCGCAACCAGCCCTCTGCGCTCGGCCCCAAATGCATAAATAAATTAAAAAGGGACAATTAAGGGCACAATGGATGCGAGTCTTTGTGCATTTGGCGCGCACATGCATTGGCATATGTACAAACATGTGCGAGGTCTTATGGGAAATCACCTGGACGATGCCCCTACGCCGTTGCACACCCTGTGTCTTCATTTTCCTAATGGGCCCTGGATTGGATGGATTCGAATTATTTATAGAGCTGATTCGGGACGTGATTGCTCGACATGTGTCCATGGAATGGGGAGAAAGTGCGGGGCGGCTCTTGGCTCGCATATCGTTTTTTAACAAGTTTCTGGGATTCCTCACAATAAAGCCAGATGTAAATTATGAATGAAGAAATGTTTAGTCAACAATCTGGTGGACATTTCAGGCCATGTTTTCCCTGCCGCTAAACCAGCCCTTGATCGACCCGCCAAGTTCCGGTCACTTTTTAACAGTTGAGGAAACTGTGTCTTAAAAGTGACAACGCGACCGCCTATTGGTTGCAGGTTGTTCTTCTGCAGGCCAAATGTCGTCGCAATTGGAAAACAAATGTTCGACGACGAAAAAAGTGACAGATGGTTCAAGTATGCCACCGATTTATTAGCAAACATGTTGGTGGCAGATCTACCAAACTATGCACAACAGCCCTTAACAGGCTCGTTACACTTCTGGGGCTGATTCGTTTTGGCCATCTGGTTTTTTTTCTCTTGCGTTCCTTAGTTCATTCAAGCCAGGCAAACAATGCGATTCGAAAGGGTTTTTTACTTTGGGTTCGCATGGACTTGATTTCTTCTTTCAATCTTCAGAGTAGTGCCACATTTTTCCTGAATGAAGACACATATGTTCCAAACATGTAATCGGGTTTACAAGGGTATCTGTGGAACACTTGGCCCGTATACAGATGGTGGCAATTGAACCAGAAGAACAACTGAATTGTTGACAGTTTCTTGGATCAGCACATTTATCTGATTTTCACATTCTGAGGCCACACGTGATCCCCACATTTCTTTTGACTGCCTGACTTATATTTCTCGAATGGCTTTCGATTCGCTCTCGGCCCACTTAACGGCAGTGTTTTGTCTCCTTCGACAGGTCTGGTAAATTTATTTGGAAACACATGTTTTTGCCCTCACATAAGAGCAATTAGCAGCCTTATTAATTTCTGACTAAGCGGTATACAGGGAGTTTTTCCATTGACCACTCCCATTAGAGATTGCTAAACCACTGATGATGGTGTCGATTTAAAACTTTTTTTGAATGTGCAGGGGATTTTACCCTTTTGAATGTTTCCCCAAGCTTCCAGCTCAAGTTGCGCTGAAGATAGGAATTTTTAAACTGAGATCGACAATTCCAAAAAATTATCGTTAAGAAGAATCAGTCCAAAATCCCTGCTGATGGTGGCAACCTGAAACTTTCGCTGATTGTAATGCTCTTTCTAATGCAATTTTTCTCAACCTTAAAGCTCCATTTTCGCTGAAGATACGAGTTTTCAGCGATCGATATTTGCACTCAAAGGAAATTTTCATCAGTTATGAAGGGGACTTTGCTGCAATGTCCCTCAAGTTTCCAGCTGAATTTGCGAGTTGTCAGAGACCGATATTTTCCTTCAAGAAAAATCGTTGCTTAAATAAATTCCCTGGCAATCTCCGATGACGGTGGCGAGTTGAAATTTTCGTGAAGGAGACTGCTCTTTATAATGCAAATTTCCTCGAGCTCCCAGCTCAATTTTCACAGCGTCATTTTCACTCGAGAAAATTTTCGGTTTCGAAAAATTCCTTCAAAATCCCTGAAGATACTGGCGACTTGAAACTTTCGTCTTTTCTTCCAGCTCGAACAGATCGAACAGATTTGTCCACCTGAGTTTTCGAACATAGACCGACACTTTGCCTCTTGAAAAATCGAGCAAATTCGAAATTTTCCCCTCAAGTCCCTGAAGTCGGAGGCAAATCGAAACTTTCAGCGTTCATATGAGACTTCGGCCCTTCCAATGAAATTCTCCTAAAGTCAATCCAACATGGCCAAAGACCTACACTTATACTGCGAAAATGACCTTAAATAACCAAAAACCGCCAAAAATCATTGACTATTTAAAAATCCCTGATGAAGACGCCCATTCGAAACTTGTCGCCTTAATCAACCGGAATTATCCCTGTTCAATGCGGCATCATCAATTGCCCGAAAATTTGATAAAAAACCACACATTCAATTACCAAAAATACTCTAACTCTAAACCAATGTACTCAATTTAGCATCATTATTGGCGAAAATAATCAGTCCGGACACCGCTTGTTTATAAACAATGCCTATATTTGGCCCGTATTTTCGGAATGTGTAGCGATAAGCCCGGATGCGGTCCACGTGATTGGCTGCTGGATCTTCGCGCCATTCGCCACCGAAGAAACAATGTGAGGCCAAAAAAAGGCAGCTGTCAAATTCGGGCGCACCTTTCATTAACGGAAAAAGTTCACCATCTGACTGCGCCAGAAAAAAGGGGGTATAAACGTGAACACACGCGGACATGTGGGGTGTCCGCATGGGACAGATGAACGCTCGTATCATCTGGATACGGGGCTTATGGGGGTCTCCGGATGGACATCTGTCCCCGCTAAACCAACTGGAGTTTTGTTCAAAATATGTTCGATCCTTGCAAGAGCAACTACCTTTTGTGGGCACCTCGTAGGAGATCGACACATTCCCATCAAGCTGCCGCTATGAGTAAGAGCGAGAGCCATGTAGCCGTTACCGTGGTAACCAGTCTGTTTATGTTCAACTGATTGGAAATACCAGGGCGGATTGGGTGGATGAGGATTTTTTTGTAGGAATTTTTGAGGGTTTTTTGCCAAAAATAATTTGGTTGTACATGTTCAGTGAAAACTGTGAATCGATGTTTGAAAATTCGTATCTCCTCAGCAAAATGAGCTGGAACCTTGAGAATAGCTTCATTGGAGAGATGCAAATGCACTTTTATAAACCGTGAAAGTTTCGATTTGCACCCGTCATCAGAGAGTTCAGTGGGATTTAAATCCGGTTAACTTTTCCCGAGTAAACGTGGCGATTCATGTTTCAAAATTTTTAGCTTCAGCGCATTTTGAGATGGAAAATTGAGGATGTAGAATACTGCTTGCTTTACTTGTTGGAAATTTGTCCCGAAAGCGTTAAGTTTTGGTTTCAGTCGTTTCAGTCATATTTATTTAAACTTTGTAGCCACTAACTTGTTTTTGTTTTGATCAATAAATATTTTGCAACAAAATAGCAAAAAGGAGTTTTGTTTAACAGAGAAAAATCGCGTTTATCTCCGATTGAAAACTCGGATTCGAGGTCGCATTGAAAAATTATCTCGAAAAGTGCAAAGTCCTCTTCATAATCTCTGAAAGTTTCCTCCCGTCACCCGGTGACGGTCACCGTCATCAGGGATTTCAGAGGACTTTTTCTAAACCGTGAATGTTGTTGAGTAAAACCAGATTTTTCGTTTAAAATTCAGAAGTTCAGCAAAACCTGCACTTAAAATAAAAAATCCGCCTTCACAACCAACGAAGGTATCAATTGGCCATCCTCATTAGGTACTTTGGAAGAATTTTTCTAAACTGCAAGTTTTTGTGGGTGAAAATGTCGATTTTTGCAAATCCGTATTTTCAGCACAAACTGAGCCGGGTCCTGTTCGACATCAGCAAAGATTCGATTTGCAACAGTCATCAGTGATTTTGCAGGAGTTTTTCTAAGCCGTGTAGTTTCTTGAGTGAAATTATCGATCTCTGTTTAAAAATTCGTACCATCAGCGGAAATTGCGCTGAAAGCCTGCGGAAAATTGCATTAGAAAGACCAATGTCCCGTTCACAATATCTGAAACTTTCAATTCGTCACTCCCATTAGGAATTTCGGACACATTTATCAAAACCGCGATATTTTGTGGGTGAAAATGTCAATCTGTGTTTTAAAATTTGTATCTTTAACGTATATTAAGCTAGCCGCTTGAGAAAACTTGCATCAGAAAGAGCACAGTCCCCTTCATAAGCAGTGAAAGTTTCAAATCGCCACCATCATCAGGGATTTTGGAGAAAATTTGCAAATTTGCAAATTTTCTTGAGACAACATCTCAGTTTTAAAATTCTCAGTGTTATGACGCGTATCTTGAGCGCAATATGAGGTGAAATTTTCATTGGAAGAACCAAAGTCTCTTTTATAAACGCTGAAAGTTTCGATTTGCCACCGTCTTCAGGGACTTTAAGAGGCAGTGTCGGTCTGAGGTGTGAAGCCTCGGAAAAATTAAATTGAGAAGAGTGTGTGAAGTCCCCTTTACAACCAGTGAAAGTTTCGATTCGCCAACATCATTAGGAATTTGAAAGGAATTTTTCTAAAACGCAAGGTCTTTGAGTGAGAATGTCGAACTATGTTTGAAAATACGTGTCGAAGAGGCAAAGGTTCGAGCTGGAGACTTCGGAAAATTGCGTTAGAGAGAACAAAGTCCGCTTCGTAACCAGGGAAAGTTTTAGGTCGCGACCTTCATCAGGGTTTTTGGAGGAAATTTTTTAAACACCGAAGTTCCTTGAGAAAAAATGTCGGTCCCAATTTTAAAATTCGTATGTTCAGCGCGCATTGAACTGGAAACCTGACGAAAATTGCATTAAAAAGAGGAAAGTCTCCTTGATGGAAGACGAAAGCTTCAAATCGCCAGCGTGATCAGGGATTTTGAAGCAATTTTTCTAAGCCGAAAAGTTTCTTGAGTGGAAAAGTGGATCGCTAAAAATTCGTATTTTTAGCGGAAATTGAGCTGGGATCTCAAGAAAATGTGCCCTAAAAAGAGCAAAAACTCCTTCATAATCAACGAAAGTTTCAATTCGCCACAATCATCAGGGATTTTGGACCATTTTTTTGAAACGGCCGAATCTCTTAGTCGGAGTCTTAAAATTTGTATCTTTAACCCAAATTGAGACAAAAGCTGGTCCTCCTATTGTAAATAGCAAGTAATTTACTATCAACTCTGAAAGTTTTGATTTGGAACCCGCATCAGGCATTCTAGAGACGTTTTTGCTAACCAAGAATTTCCTTGAGTGAAAATGTCGACCTTTGAAAATTCGTATCTTCGGCGCAAATTGAGGTGGAATTTCAAGAAAAACTGAACTAAAAAGAGCAAAATCTCCTCCACAACTGAGGAAAGTTTCCATTGGACACCATCATCAGGAAGTTTAGACGAATTTTTCGAAACCGGTAAATTTTTCGCTATTGAAACGCCATTGAAAACCCTAAAACCGTCTTCAACAAATCGTTGAAAGTTTCAGGTGGCCAGCAGCCTCAGATCTTTAGGAAAATAAATACATTTACAGGAATCACAATAAGAATACCTTCACACCATCCACCTGTGCGAGTTGGGCATTCAATTGAATTGTTTTTTTCTGTGTTCTTTCTTAAACTGTGTCAGAGGCATTTCTGTCCACTGAAAGGGTCTTTTAACGCTGTAAATTTCGAATGCAAACAAGCCACACACCTGTGATCTGTGAATCGGTTAAAAGGCCCAGATTCTGGAAAGTTTCCCAAAAAGCTCAACTAGGTACTTAACAATTGTGAACCATTTCGGACACCTGCAGGTCGTTAAAACCCGATAAATTACTCAGCGAGTTACTGAATGGGTTCCAGGAGATCTATTGAGAAATCTGACCAAACCGACTTGAATCGGCAGTGAAACCTTGGATATTTTGGGGGAAAATTGGCCGGGAGAACATTCCCAAATAAATCAACTCCAACTCGACGCTACTATTACAAGCGAGAAGTTAATGATCACTTATAAATACTAATTAACATATTTTGCTATTGCATAGCGTCAAAACAAGCCGGTGTTGCCAAGCGGGGCGATTTTCCCTGAGAATGGTGGGCGAAGAGCTGCAGAGCTACGTTCGCAGATTGCCAATGGAGGAATTCAAGTGCCACAGCGAAACGGACGCAGGAAGTGAAGCCGGTTTTATACTAAATCGGGGAAAAGTATCCCGGCTAATTTTCTTGATAAATGTGCTTAACAAACAAGAAAATTCGTAACTCCTTGTTGATAAACTTCGAAAATCGCTTCGTTGCTTGCCGATTCCACGTTTTACGCGCAAATGTGGGCATGCCGAAGGCCACTTGAGTAGTTGGCCCAATTTAGTGGCGAATAAATCGAAAAAAGGGGCCAGTTTAACTGCTGGAGTAGTCAAAGCGACACAATTGAAGAATCAGCAAGTGCTCGGTTTGGTCGCGCCAGTCCTCCAAACACCGGTAAAAATTGGCAAAAGTGCCGCCAAATTCCTCTTTTTGTATCAAAGTTCATTGGGCTTCAGGAAAATGACCGGGTTGTTGCCGTTCAAAGTGGCAGTCGAGAACGCAACTAATGAGGCGGCAGGCACAACGCGGCAACGCCGCAAGATCCACCGGCGCACTGAGGCGCCGTTCGAATCATTGGCGCCTAGCGCCTACCTGCAAGCCCCGCCCAGCCGGCCAAACGGGGCGCGTGATTGGCCAGAGCGTCCCTACTGCAATATATATAGAGTTTTCCGTGCGTTTACGTGTCATTTGCTGTCTTCCCATTGCGGAGTGAACTGTTCCAATTGCGCGGTGTTGTCGCTCGTAGCCCGTGTGTGTGTGGTGTGTTATTGCAGTGATTGGTGAATTTGGATTATTTTCCCGCAAAACAATGAAGGCCGTGTTAGCAACGTGTGGTGGTAAGAGTGTGACGGCAGCAGGCAAAATCAGCAAAACTAAACAGAAAGACATTGAGAACGAGGAAATCCAGATGTATCTGAGCAAGTTGAAGGATCTGGTGCCGTTCATGCCGAAGAATCGGAAACTGTCCAAACTGGAGGTGATCCAGTACGTGATCGACTACATCTGTGACTTGCAAAGTGCGCTCGAGACGCAGCCCGCTGTCAATGTGTTCGATGCTCAGACGGTTCTGAGCCAGAAAAAGTCGCAGGCAGCGATCAGTCCCAGACAGCCGCTGGGGCTCAGACAGAGCCCGAATACGATTCTGAGCCCGTGCGAAGCACCGATCGTCCAAAGCATAACGGTGAGTAAAGCGCGCATAAATGTGCGGCCATTCTGAGCTGGTCGGGTAAATATTTACCAGGCCCAGCTGGCGCGACAATGACGGAAAAAATAAATATTTAACATCGTCGTTTCCTTCGGGTTCCCGGCCAAACAAGCGCAATGAATAGATTCCCTTGACAAAGTGGCTTCTGAGCGACCCCAAACGATTGGGAACACGAATAACGAACATTATTGATAGGAGCACAGCTGTGCTTGCACGTGTTCGGCCAGATGTCGGCCCCGTCTTTTATTAACGTCATGAATTTTCTCACACACACTTAATAATAATCCCCTCTTTTCTCTTCCAGACGACAGACGCGCTGACCCCCTCAGACAGCCTCCAATCCTAGGGGCAAAAGCGGCGCGAAACGAAGAAATTGAGCCTCAGCTCGAAGAAAGTCTTCTGAGGTGCCAGTCCGGGTTTGTTTTGTTTGGTCGACATCGCCCCCTTTGAGGGCGGAACTGACGTCTAGGGGCGGCGACCCCTCCTCAATGTCTCACTAATCGGAACATCTCCAAGGCTGGCAGGACCATTGGACCTCATAGGAGGACTCGGGGTTCGCGCCCCTCCCTTTTTGGTACCTGTTATATGTTGCAATTTGTTACTCTTTAAGGTGTACATACACGCAAACCTTGTTGTTAAGAGGCGGGTGAAGGAAACAGCGTGTGGTTCGATGTACGGCAGTGGGCCCTCTCCAACAGAAAACGCCCAATTTTTCTCAATTTTTGTTCAATTTTTGTTCAATTTTTGTGAGTTGATTTCTGTGATTTAGTCGTTAGTGAGAATTATTGCTGAATATGTCTAGAGGCCGCAGAATGGCGCAGATGGCCAGGCTGGACACATTTTATGCGGCTGCATTTTGTTTTCTGTCTCAAAGGTTTTTGTAAATAGGACGCGCGTAGCTGTTAAGGATTTTTGTTAATTAGATTTTATATATGACAGATTATAATTTTGAGCAAATAAACACGACTTTTTTCCTGATTTCTCTGTATTTGCCTTAATGCCGAAACCTGCAACTTTGCATTTAAGAACGTTCTAAACAGAAGAGTTCGTCTCAGCGCCCTTCATGATGGTGGCGAATTGAAATTTTCAGATGTTGCAAAGGAATCTTTTTTCTCTCCAATGCAATTTTCGTCAAGCGTCCAGCTCAATTTGCGCTCAGGATACGAATTTTCAAATCTATCTTGAAATCCTGCGAAATCCCTGATAACGATCGCGTCTTGATGGCGTTTCGCCAGTCGTGAAGGAGACTTCGCTCTTTCTACTCAAATTTTCGCCAATCTTCCAGCTGAATTGGCGCCGAAACTGCGAATTTTCAAACATGGGCCCACACTTTCACTCAGGAAAATTCCTGAAGACGGTGGCGAATTGAAACTTTCGTTGATTCTGAACAAGACTTTGCTCTTTTTAAAGCAGATTCCTCAAACTTCCACTTAAAGTGAGCTCAAGACACGAAATCGCAAACAGAGATTGCCATTTTCACTCCATAAAAAGCGCGCTTTCCAAAAACTCCTCCAAAATCTCTGATGACGGTGAAACTCTGAAACTTTCGCAGGTAATGAAGGGGACTTTGCTATTTCCAGCTCAATTCGCGCTCAAGATTCGAACTTGCCAATAGCGATCAGCAGTTTCACTCAGGAAAACTTGCAGCTTACACAAATAAACTGTGGAAAAACCTTCGAGCTGAGTCCTAAAACGGCCTAAGTTCGCCCACAGAATTTCCAGAGCTGCCCCCGTATACCAGGCGATAGCCTTTGGTAACCATGGAAACCCGACCTCAAACAAACACCGCAGGCCCTGATCGCGCATCAATCCACTACGGGGGCGATATGAAACCGGCTGACTATCGAAGCCCGCCGATTTTACAATTTCGTATGCGACAAAATAAAATGAAAACAGGATCACGTCGTCCACTGTCCAGTAGAAATGCAGTGGTTGGAATGGGCGCCGGCGAGTCTGCAGCACACCTGCAAAACTAGCCGTGTGAACAGTTGAAAGTCGCGCCCACGATGCTCGTTTGTCTTTTTTTTATTATTAAACTTTTGTGTGCGCTATTCAGTTGTTTTACGAGGTGTGTGTGGCAAAAACAAGGTCAAAAGCAAGCAAAATTTGCCTGATGATGGCCGGTACACCTGCACTTGTGCACACAGTCAAGCAATTCGAGCATTGTCTGCTTATCTGTGTAAACCAGGCGATAATCGCTGAACATACAAAGGCTTGGGAACATGAGCAGTAGGCCTGGAACCCGAGCAACTGGGGCAAAAAGCAGTTACTTTTGTCGTCTTTTCGGCCAAAGGCCGTCTATTGGAGCCAAGGAATGTCTAAACTTCCTGTATTGATCCATCACCTGGCAAATAGCCATTAAGCTCAAAGCGATTAAACACCTGCAAGTGAACCACTGTCCACCTGAGATTGGAGGCTTTCAAGGTCTCAAAAGCCCCGTCTGGCCCTTTGTCAGAACCCGTGGGGGGTGGCGCCGCATTAAACCGATTCCCAGGCCTCCCTCTTACTCGCTTTTTTACATTAAAACACCAAACTACCTTTGTACCTTCCCCCGTATGGATAAACACGTTTCGAACGCATCTCCATAGCAACGAGCCAGGTTGGCTGCGCCGTGGTATTACGGGGGCGCCTTAAAATTTATAGAGCATGAGAGGGTCGTCCATGCATCAGGTCCCAAACCAGGAACCACCGATTCACAATATTTTGAATGGTTAGACGATAAATACAGGTGCCAGGCCATCAAGTGTTAAAACAGGTATATTTTGTGGGCGAAGGGTGGCAAAGGGCCGCTTTGTCGGTTAGGTCAGAACACCCAAGTCTTCAGGTTCCATTCGTTTAACACTTACTGGTCATTAGGCTAATTGGAACGTGTGTCGACGTTATGTTAATTTGCGTGATGTCACAAAAATTCCCAATTGTCTCTTAGATAATGTGAAATGGCGTAATCGAGTCGCTAATTGGATGGGTTCGGTTGTAAACTGGAACCATTTTTGACGATGGGACTTCCGTACGGGATTTGAAGGCTGATTTTCGTAAATTAATCGAAAATTTCGCGTTTTTGTCTGCAATTGTCCTTCTGATCGAGTGAAGTGTATCCAGTCGTCGCGTTCCAGAATTCCGGAATGAAATTACGCAAATTCTGGAACGTAGCGACGGAATTTATTTTGTTACAAATACAAAAATCTGATGAATTAAACAATTTTCCAAATATTCAGGTTAAGCGATATAATTGGCACTTTCACGACTAGTTTCCCTAAATTAAGCAATCGTAAGACCAGGAATTTAAAGACATTTTCTCTTATAAGCAAATTTTCAGAAAAAAACGCGAACGGTTTTAAACATTTTCCTCAATTTCGCTTTCAAGTGACGAAAACAGAGAGTTTTTGACCGAATATTTCGAAAATTCTAGAGCACAGTCAGGGAATTAACGGTTTTCGATCTGCAGCCTGCAAGGCTTTCATTATAAACAGGCCAGAATCGGCTAAAGGCAACCGCGGATTGTATGAAATTTTCGAGGCATTCGCGAACGTAGTGAGCGCCAAAATTTGTCAACAATTGCCAAATTTCGCAACTGTTGACCTAAACAAACCTCTTAGGGGTTTAGTAAAATTTTCTCAAAGACAGTCCAAGGCGCAACTTGGACGAAAATCGTGGTTTTTAAGCAAATTTGCGAAAAAATCTAGAACGCAGCAAACTATGCAAGCGAGAGCAACAAGCTATAAGAATACGGTAAAATAAAGAGTTTTCGATAGAATTTTCCAAAAGTACTGGAATATAGCAAGTGGGAGAACACGTTTGCAACACGGAAAGGTCTAAAAGGATTGAAAAGACGATTTTATGAAATTTTGGAGACAGTCAGGAACGTAGGGCGGTTGAATTTTACAGGACTTTGACCACAAATCAAGAAATTTTGAAGGCAATTTGGCAAATTCTGGAACATAGCAGCGGAATTAACACGCTTCTATTGTGGGCAATCGCGCAATATGGGAGAAACCCATCGAACCAATTTCGGACATGAGTAAATTTCAAAATGGGGCCTCAAAGAATGACGTCACTGCCAAATAGGTTGGGACAAATTACAGTTGGTGACCAATCGGGCAAATTTCCCCAAACAGTTGCAAAAGTGCGAAAAACTTCAAGAACTCATCAGTACCGAGCCACAATGTAATTTAGTGGCGTTTGCGGATTTCCTCTATAGCGGTCGTTCTACATTTCGGTTTCACGTAAACGCCATCATTCCAACAGTGTCGGTTCCCATAGACTCAGGTCATGTGAATATGGTGGCCTTTCGAGCCACCACGAAGTCCTCCGGAGGTGCGTGAGAACTGCAAAGTCTCTTTTCCTTCCCTCACTCCCTTGAGCTCAAATTGGAGGCAAAACATGCCCGATCACGTTCCAGCCAATTGACACAGGTGCGATCGATTCACACCTTTTCTACCTTTAAAACAGCTAATATTTGGTCGACTTTGTTTGATAGAAAGATGGTAATCTATTTGTAACACCGAAAAGTCAAGTTAAACAATTGCGACGCGGCCAATGAGACAGAGAGAGAGGTGGGCAATCATGAAAAATCACGTTCTTCGTGACGGCCGCGCTCGTTGTTACCAAATATATTTGAAAGTGCCTCACCTATAGGGCGTGCCATGTATTATGCCGATACTAGTTTGTTCCAAGGTATTTGACAGTGACGTCATTATTGGAGCGTGGTCACCGTGAGACAGTTGGACAAAAGTTCTGGCAAAATTCTCGATTTTACCACAAAATTAATAGAAAGAAGCACTCGCCAAGAAGTCAAACAATAGTTTTAGTATTCATCCATACATCGAACTTCCCCCTCACTCGCTCTACGAGTAACAGAGAAAAACAAATTGATGCGGTTTGGTTAGTATCATGTGCCCCCTGTAAGAACACCCACGATATTCTCTGAGCTTGGCGCTGTAGCCAGAGCGAGACGCACATAGCAAATGACGTAAAAACCGGCCTGTCCTTGTCGCACGATTGCGTAATACCTGGGCCATGTAATGCGTTTCCCACATGAATTTTTCACTTGCAAACCTTTTGTGTTCTTTAGTTGTGTTTTTTGGAGTAAAAAATTGTTGTTTTTTAGAGTGCTCCGTTCAAAACTCAATTTTATTGCCAACCTTTTTGGGTCAAAAGCCAAACTTTGTGGATTTAGCGAGGTACCAAATTGGTACCGCCAGATGAGACGGCCTATAGCGACAGATAATGGTTCAGGTGTTCAAAGAGAGCGACTCGGCTGACTAAAACGTTATCTTGGGTAACCATCCCACAAAAACCTTCTTTGTGGTTGAGAAATCGTGAATTGCTTACAGTTTAACCGCTTTTTATCTGGGCTGGGGAAATAATAAGCGACTTAAATGCCTGAGAAATTTGCCCGAAACTCGCTGCTTTGGAACCAACTCTCTTCCAACGAGAAGCGCAGCGAAAGCGTGGAGTTTCCAGGGGATTTGACTTATTGATCGGGCCAGCCATTTTAGTTCCGGAATGTCCGGAAATCGCGTTGCCTGGCAACGTAAAGAGCCGCGAGCCAGTGACAATCCAGGAATTCTCCCCTTCCCCGCCTTGCGGATCATCCCCCCATCTCGCATTTTCTCAATTTATTGGCGCGATGTTCAGTTTTTTTGTCAGGAAAAATCCATGTCAAACAATCGCATTTCTAGCGACCGAAGTATCAGCCAGAGGCCATTTGATATTAAGCACATGCACAGATTGAACAGATGTTAAAGTCCTGAAATAATACGAATTTTTGATTATTTTCGTTTAACCTGAAACGGCGACGAGTGGGTGGCTGGATCGGTATTTTCGGATTAACCATGTGCTGTTTTTCCAACAACCAAAAGGAAAAATGAGAATAAGAAAACGTAAAACATCCAAATCGAAACCCCTCATTGGTCCTGGCTGCTTTCAGATGGATTAAGTGCTCGACTTTTATGAGCCTGTTTAATAATCGGGAGCAT